ATAAAATTCATTTCCTATTGTTTTGAAGTCCCACGTCACTTACATTGGTTTATTTTGATTGGCTTTATTCTGTTTTGTTTGGTTTTATTCCTTTAAAATAAAATAAATAACTAGAAAATAATGCAATGAATTAATGAATTGAACAGCTGACTCTCTCAAAGAATGAATAAAATTAATAAGCCCTTAGCTAACCTTATCCAAAAAAGGAAAGAAAAAACTCAAATTCATGCAATAAGAAATGAAAATGGTGAAACCACTACAGATTCTGTGCAAATATACCTACTTCAAAAGTCTTTCATCTCATAGGATGGAAAACACAAAGCAAATGCACAGATTCCTAGAAATTAGTTAATTTCCAAATTAATTAATTGCCAAAGCTAAATCAAGAAAATAGGAAAGTTCTGGAAAACCAAATACCAGTTAATGAAATTGAAAACATCATCAAAACCTTACCAACAAAGAAAAGTTCAGGTCCTGATGGATTCACAGCTGAATACTACAAGAAATTTAGATAAGATTTAACACTAATACTCCTCAAATTCTTCAATGAAATTAAAAGGGAAGCAATTCTCCAAAACTCATTCCTAGAGGCAAGTACTACCCTGGTACCAGAACCAGAGAAAGACCCAATCAAAAAAGAGAACTACAGACCAATCTTCCTAATGAACATAGATGCAAAAATCATCAACAAGATACTAGAAAATAGAATACAACAACATCATTTAGAAGATTATACATCATGACCAAATAGGACTCATCTCAGGAGTGCAGGTATGGTTCAACATATGCAAACCAATAAACATAATATGTCATATCAATGAAGCCAAAGACAAAATCACATGATCATCTCAATAGATGCATAAAAAGCTTTTAATAAATTTTTTTACCCATTCATGATAAAAAAAAACTCTACAGAAAATCAGAATAGATGGTCCTTGCCTCAATCTGACAAAAACAATCTATGACAAACCAACAGCCAACATCATACTATATGGTGAAAAAATGAAAGCTTTCACTTGAAATCAAGAACAAAATAAGGATGTCCACTATCACCACTCCTATTCAATATGGTTCTGGAAACATCAGCCAGAGCAATTAGACAAGACAGAGAAATAAATGTAATAAGGATAGGAAAAGAGAAAATTAAATTATCATTATTCTCAGATGACAAGATATTCTACATAGAAGACAAAAACTCTACCAAAAGGCTTCTAGAATTCATAGCCAGATTAAGTAGAGTATCTGGATACAAATTCAACACTCAAAAATCAATAGCATTCCTTTACACAAACAACAAACTCACTGAAAGAGAAATTAGGAAAGCCACTCTCTTCACAATAGCATCAAAAAAATACATTGGAATCAACATAACAAGGGAAATAAACAATCTATACATTAAAAATTACAGTATTCTGAAAAAAGAAATGGAAAAGAATATCAAAAAATGGAAAGGTAAATCCCTTCTTCATAAAGAGGAATCATCAACATTGTGAAAATGACAACCCCAATCAAAAGACCATTAGCATACCTCACAGATGTAGAGAGAACATTCTTAAAATTCATTTGGAAGCATAAGAGACACAAATTATCAAAAGTAATCCTGGACAACAAAGGCAAGATAGGAGGCATTTTGATCTCTGGCTTGAGATTATACTACAAAGCTACTGCAATATAATCAGCATGGTACTGGCAAAAAAAAAAAAAAAAAAAAAAAAAACCAGACCTGAAGAACGACAGAATAGATTACAAGATGCAGCTACATAATGAACATACTCTTTCACCTTATCTTTGACAGAGGGACCAAACATGTTCACTGGAAGAAAGATAATCTGTTTGATAAATGGCTCTGGAGAACTGGCTTTCCATATGCCAGTGACTAACACTAGATCTATGTCTATCACCTTGCACTAAACTAAAGTCAAAATAGATCAAAGATCTAAATGTTAAAACAGAAACACTGAATCTACTGGAAGACAAAGAAGGTAGAAATCTCAAAGACATAGGCATAGGTAGAATTCATGAGCAAAAACCGAATTGCATGGAAAGTACTTTAAAGAATCAAAAACTGGGGGAAAAAGTATCTAAGAATCAACTGGAATCTCATCATCTGATTACAGTTTTTGCATATCAAAAGAAATCACCAACAATGATAATAAAATCCACATATTAGGAAAAATTTTAGCCAACTATATCTTATGCAAAAGACTTTTATATATATAAAATTTTTAAAAATCAGGCTTCCCAAATTCAAAATCCATTCCAAAACTGGACTTCTGAAGTGAATATACATTTCTCAGATGAAGAAATATAAATGGCAAATAAATAAAAGATAAAATGTTCAACATTATTGGTCATTTGAGAAATGTAAGTTAAAACAACACTGAGTTTCCATCTAACCCCAAAAGTAATGACTATTTTCAAGAAATGAAACAATAACAAATGTTGGCTGAGGGGAAAAAGGAACACTTCTCCCCTGTTGGTTGGAGTGTATACTGGTGCAAACACTGTGGGAATCAGTCTGGAGATTCCTCAAAAAATTAGAATTAGAGATTCCATTTACCCTGTCTATCCTCGGTATGTTTTCCTAGAAATTATAAACATCATACAATAATGATATACATGCACCCATGTTTATATGTGCACAAGTTGTAATAACAAAATCTTGGAAACAGCCTAAATGCCCATCAACCGAGGAATGGATAAAAAAGACATGGTCCTTTTATACAATGGAGTGCTTCTCAGCTATAAAGTAGGATAAATTCAAGTCTTTTAAAGGTAAATAAATGCAACTAGAGATGATACTCAACAGTAAAATAAGTCAGATTCAACATGTGTAACATGTGTTTACATGTGTAAATATCATATTGTCCCCTTGTGGAAGAAACTGAAAGACTGAATAACATCTACAATAGATACTGTGAAAGGGAAAGAAACTACTGAAAAGGAAAGAACACCTGGGATTGGGAAAAGCAGAAAAGAAGGAAGGGAAAACATAGTTATATATATATATATATATATATATATATATATATATTACAAAGAGAGTATATATACATATTACATCTATATTAGAGTTAAGATAATTATACTACTAATTTCTTTTGGTTTATTGAAAAAAATGGTTTATACTTATATTGTTTGATCTATTTTGCATGTCTATACCTTACAATCTGAACAACTACTTTTAAGATAGCAATCTGCAATATAATAATTATTGCTAGTTTCCTATCTTCATGATGTAAAATTCTGTATCATTATTTTTATTGTTTTTTCTCCTTAAATTTTATTTTAAAAACACACCTAATGTTTGTCCCCATGAACTTAAAGCGAAGCTTCTCTGCCCAGTTGTGTGTTTTCTCTAGCCATGTTGAGCTACACAGTGCAGGAGAGGAGCAGGCCACCAGTTGGATTTAGTTAGGGTTTATAAGCCTTTCAAACGTCTACAACAAGGTGGGGAAAGGGTAAAGAAGTGAACACACATGCAAAGGAATGAGCATGAAGTTTAAATTGTATGAAGAAGACAGAGAAGATGCCAAAAAGAAAAGCATTCAAAAGGTGGTAGGACTGGCGGTCTCAAGGGCCTCCATATGCTGGTAATGTGGGAGTAACATGAAAAGAGAAAAGTAGCAGCTGTGAAATAGAAAAGGGCTTTTGGTCACCCGTAATGACAACGTATAACAATGATGAGGAAAGCTAGTGACTGGGGTAGGACAAAGAAACAGGTTCTAAGACAATAAGAGCTTGAGGAATTGAGATGCATTAAATTAGAACATTTAGAAAGCTGTAAAATTATAATAAGCCAAAGACTCAGTGGAGAATGGTAGATCACAGTAAGCATGAATGGCTGATTCATAATCTGATAACATGAGTTCTAAAAAGAGAAAGAAGGACAAATGTCCCGAACAACAGGGGAGAGAGGGAGATATATATCATCTCTAAGTCCAGTAGAAAGAAAACTGAGAAAAAGCAAAGTCAAAAAGCATGTGTGGGCTAACATTATTTCCAGGGGAGGGCCATATGACAGTTATGGCAAGATTTTAAAAAAGAAAGCAGGGAAACTAAGGTGAAGATATAGGTCTTTTACTGATAATAGTCCAAATATCCCATTTTCTATATCCCAAATGGAATGTGGGAAATGAGAGGGGGAAGTGTCAGACCTGCAGACCCTCATAGGCAGGGTTGCACTATCTTACTGCATTTGTCCCAGTGGATTCAGTCAGCACTAAAAGGCAGATATGATAGTTAAGTAACAAATTAACATGCCTCTTTCTATATTTCTTTATCTATTCTATATAAAGATATTTCTACATATATATACATTTTTCATATTTGACCTCATTGAGTATATTACATTGTTCTAAATATTATAACTGTGTATTGTTTTAATATGTCATCTTATTCTTAAAAAATCCCCTTTCCAATTGTAAAGTGACCTTTCCAGTTGTTGATTCTTTGTGTCACAGGAATTCTGTGGTTTAGAGATTCAGGCAGGGCTTGGTTAAACATCAGTTGAGGTGACTCAGTAGTACCTGCTGACAGCTGGGCTGGTTCGAAGGCTCACAACCTGGAATCCAGTGGGGATGGCCACAAGATGAGGCTCACCTAGGGCTGTCCCTAGAGTGTCTGCACATGTCATCCCCCTTTCCTGTCTCAGGTGATTGTGACCTGCTTCCTCCAAAACAAGCATCCTAAGAAAACCAGATAAAAACAAAGTCCTGTTACTTTCTCCATTTTCTGTTGCAGCCCAATTTCAAGAGGAGTGGAATTGTATCCTGCTTTTTCATGATGAGTTAACAGGTCGCTGTGTGGAAGAACATATGGCATGAAAGATATTGTTCGGTTATCTTTGAACAATATAACTTGCCATGGTGATACACACACCTTTATCGTGTTGGGTGTGGTAGGGGCTCATATCCCTGAAAAGGCATTCCTACGTTCAAGTTTCAAATAACCATAAACTGCATTCATAATAAATGATTAAATTTATATGTCTTTTTTAGGAGTGTCTAGAACATCCACAGAAGAAAATGTGTCTCAAAATTCAGAACAGTTGGAAAAACCCAGCAGGTATAATAAAGCAACTAAAAACTTTCTAAGTACTCACATTGTGTAAAACTAATTATAATTTTATTCTTCAACAACAAGAAAAGTAGTTTTATCTTGTACTTGATAAGCTAATAATAATAAAACACTACTTTTCAAAAAATCGCAAGTTTACTCTTAAATAAAACATAATTTAAGTATTTTTATCTTCGTGTCTGAAAATTATACAAAGCAAAATATATTTCAAAGCATTTTTACTTTCTAGCCCAATATAAACATAATTTGTTTATAATTCGTTATAATTTGTTTTGTTTCAGATTGCTGGATAATCACAAAGATGAAACTTAAAGCAGCTTTTGACTCAACATAAATGCAAGAATAAGGTTATCATGCCACCAAGGATGTCATTCCTCTAGTGGGAGCATGTGACAAGTAATGTAGGATTATAATAAAACTATGACTATGATTTATCAGCGTTTGTCTTGCAGTGTACAACTACAATCTAAACCTATGAAAATAAAATGTATTTTAAATGCTTAGAAAGATCAACAGTCATCCATCAGGCAAACTGCAAACTTTTTCCTCTTATCTATTACTCCACAAGAAATACCACAGAATCAAAAATCAACTGATTCTGACCAGGAAACAATTACACACCTAAGGTACTCTTTCATAATAAATAAATGGAAGATAAAATTGACCAAAATTATAGAGATATTTTTTAATATGGATAGGAGGGTCATAAATAGGGTCATAAAAATAGATGTGTTGAATATTGTTCAGTTTGCTTTACCTGCTTTATCTTATGATATGTTTAACTGGTAATATATAACCTAACCTTTTCATATCAATTTAAACATTTTTAAAAAGTCCTTCAGTCTCAAGACCCTTCCCTAATGTTGTTGTTTGTTTGTTTGTTTGTTTGTCTTTTTCCTTTTTATCGGTACCGGGGATCAAACTCATGACTGCCTGTTTGCAAGGCAGGTGCTTATGCCGCTGAGCTAAATCCCCAGCCCCTTCCCTAATGTTTTTCAAATGAAAAAACACTTCTGGAATAGTTATAGGTACAATTTCTGGATATCTACATTCTAGGGAATCTTGGGTTGGAGGAATATTCTCTGTCTTGATGCTGATGGTGGTAATGCAAGTCGGTACACTGGTCAAAGCCAGTTGAGCTGTACACATAGAAAAGATGAACTTTCCTGAGTAAACCTCAGTGAATCTCTCTTCTCAAAATAAAACAAAAAGGGAGATGAGGCTACAGAGTAAATTTGGCCTGGTCACATTGCTTCTTAAATGTAGTGTGTGTATTGATAGTTACTTATAAATTTATACGTGTATGGAAAACAGATCTTACATAATGTAAATCCCAACATGGAAATATTTTTATTACCAGAAAATGAGTGTAAAGACAATTTTACTTTATATTACATATGCATACAAACTATATTATGATTTTTACAATAAAAAAAGATTCTGTTATCTGGATATAAAGTGTTTCCTTAACAATTTTACACTACAAATAACTCCATTTCATCTCAAAGATTTAAAAAACAAAATTAATCCTGAGAAAACTTTTTCCTCTTGTAAGAACAATTCTAGTTTCAAGGTTCTAAATTCAAATTACACATACTTTTTTTATCTCCTCTGAAAACTTCCCCGTAATGACTGCTTTTGCTACAGTGTCTTTCTAAATTAATTTTATGATCCTTTAAAAAGATATCTGGAATATTTTGTGAGAATATTTTTAATCAAAAGGCCCACATCCTTGAAACCACTCAGGAAGTTAGATATATCAAGCGTAAAACTGTCATCGAGGTCAACAGAAATCAGAAGTTACAATCGAAGGCTAAACAACCCACAGCTATCTCTTCTGATAGATTTAATCAAAAGGTTCTGGGTGCCTTCTCTCTAAATTTCAATTTAAGTCATTTTTTCCTTTGAAACTGAAAACAAAATCAAGGTTTTATTCATGACAGATGCAAATTACAATGCATCAAATGCTAACTCTGATCCAGGGAATTTCCTTCCATAAATAATGCAGCCACGACCACTCACTGAGAATATACCAGTATTTACAATGGTCCCTAAATCTACTTTTATCAACATGACAGGGCTTAAAATACAATATTCAATGATGTATAGTACTGTAATTACTTTAATATACAGTTTCTCTTCCAAAATATTGCTACAATAGTACACCTTCTTTGTGGGGGAGTGAAAAAGTGTTGCACGGAAAACAATTTAATACAGGACACATAATTTACAGAATTATTTTATAATAGTCACCCAAAAGTCAAACACAAAAAGTTTAGGAAATCTGTCCACATACTAAAGACTCCAAAAAATCCCACTGAGGGCCCAGATCCCAGAGCAACATTCTGCCTGAGTCCAGATGAAGACCCAGAACCCATGACAATGTCTCATAGAAGTCTGTTTCACATACCTGTGCTGGGGAGACCCAAAGGTTAGTATTGGAAGCCAGAAAGTCTGTGCCAGTGGGATGAAGGATCTGTGCCAATAGCTTAAGGGTTCTGCATTATAAACTTGAAGTGATGCTCAAAGTAGGGACCAGAGCTCCCCCATAGTGAACCACAGGCATTCTCAGTAACATGCAAGGTCCTGAGCACCTCTGATGATGAGAACAGCCAATTTCATATCAGGAAAGAAACTCAACAAGCTCCTCCAGGTGAGCCAACAGCAACAGGAGAACCAACAACAACCAGAAAAACTTACAACACCACCCCTTCCTCTCCAGTGATCTCTTTTCTGTTGTTGGCTACAATCCTCAAGTGGGTCATCCACACCCAGTACCATGTTGATTTAGCTCAGCTGATATTACAAATTGACCACCAGCTGTCAATCCACCACAGGAAGCATTGAAGTTCTTTAGGGGTACACCTGCATTTTATGAACCACTGAAAAGATTCTGGTAGGTATCCTCTGGTACCGTTTTTTAAAGGCCCCCCCCCCTCTAATTTATTCCCTTCCAGGGGCCTTTCTTTTTCTTATGGAAAAGTTGTAACTACACCCAAATAACAAGGGTGGATATATGTTCCTGAGTTTTCCATCACTGTGACAAAATACCTGAGAAAGTCAAGGAAGAAATGCTTATTTTGACTCCCGTTTTTGGAGTATTCAGTTCGTGTTTTGTTGGCCTTGTGGCTTTGGGACCTGTGGTGAGGCCCCACATCATGTCAGAAGAATGTGGCAAAGCAAACCTGTTCAGTGCATAGTCATTGAGAAGCAAAATAAGAAGAAAGAGCTCTCATTGTGCGCTTCAAGGACATATCCTAAGCGCCTTCACTTTCTTCCACAGGTAGCACTACAGGCTGATGACCAGCCTTCAACTCATGAGCTTTTGGGAGATACGTAAGATGAAAGCACATTGGTATATGTGGATCAGTTGTTCTTGTTGTAAATTATCTTCTCCATTAATTTGAAAGATAGTTTTGCAGGTGATGAAGGAACACTTGCCTAGTAAGTACAGGCACCCAAATTAAATACCAGCATTTTTTAAATGTGAAAAAAAATACATAACAAAATATAAAGATGTATATATTTGGTTAATTTTCAAGGGCCACATTTAAAGGAGAACTATAGGAAAGCTTCAGAAAAAGAAGGAAGCATAGTTTCTACTGAGGTAAAGAGCTTTCAAGGCTTTGCTTCCAATATTATTTTTACACAAAAATTTTTAAAAGAATGTTCTATATTACCATTATTATTATAGTAAATCCTTGACTTATAGAAAGTTCTATTCTGGGAGAATGTCCATAAGTTAGATTTGTTCATAATCCAACAAAGTAAGTCTTGTATACACTTTTGACACAAATACACTGTGTAGAGCACTAACAAATTCACATACTCTGTGACCTTGTCCTCGTTCTTTATAATTGTGCCAATGGAGGAACAACATATGCTCTAAGAGCAAGTGACATCTACCATCTTTTCACTTGGATCCAATCTCTCAGTTATTTTTACTTTTATTTTCAAGTTTATTGCCTTGGCCTTTCCAGCAGTCCCCTCCACATCACCCCTGCTTTTCCTCTTGCATCTGGATGTTGTGGGCTCTAACTAAACACTGTACTACGTGCCCTATCGCACTGTATAGGAAGCACACAGCAGCACACATGTGACAATGTCCAACAGACCTGTGAGCTACTTCCATGGTTTCTTCACATCTACAAATGTTTGTCTGTTCATCTGTGAATGTACACAACTCGAATGATCATAAATCTGGGACTTACTGTACTTATATTTATCTTCTGTCTACTTCCCTCACAAATGCAAACCATATAAATTATAAAATATACCCTGGAAAACAATGTGAACACATTAATTACAGGATTTTTATTTTGAAAAAAATCACTGTTTGAATCACAATTTGAATCTTAAAGAAAATAAAAGACCAAATGGCATAAGCTCAAGTAGTAATTGACTAAAACCTATACTTCTTTCCAAATATCTTGCTTTTGTAGATATCTTCTTTTCAATTTCTATCTCAATACATGTTATTGGTAGAATCATAGCTATAGTTTCAATGAGAGTACATGAATTATATCATGCTTCTCCAAAAAGAACTTTGCATATAAATTGCTTTAGTATTTTCCCTAAAATCATATTTTCATTACTTTCTTAGATTACTTAAAAGCTATAAGGCTGAATATAGAATCAGAGATCAAAAATAATTTGTCACTATTTATAATTCCTTAACCTCTTATTTTTTCCAGTACTCAGGTACACTTGCAATTGAATTCAAGCTTAAAGGCTCCCTTCCCTCCCTTCTGCAACCAACCTGCAACCTAGGAAGGCCACAGTTTCACCTGTTGATCTATCAGTTATTGGAATGACCTCGCAGTGGTGACAGTCTAGTCTTTCTGATGCTTGATGCCAATCAAATAGTAATCATTAAATATATTAAACATTATCCCTGAATTGAGTTCAATAGTCAATGGCAAAATAGAAACTATTAACTGAGGGGAAAAACATGTCTATTTAGAACAAATAGATAATTACATAAGTATGTATGTGTGATAGAAAAATTGACAGATGATGAGTACACACATATACATGTACACACAAATGCACGTGTAGATTATGTATTATTTATATTACTGAATATGTACATGGAAGCAATTCCTGAAACATATACCAAAAAATACCAACTGATTTTTCTCTATCATGTAGAATTTCAAGTGATATTAATATAAATTTAATTTTAAACTTTTTTGTGTCTTCCAATGAATATATTGTTATGGTTTGTGTCTGGATATTCCCCCAAAGCTTCATGCAGTTGTGGTGGGGGATAGTTTTTTGGAGGCAGCTGAATCTAGAGTTTGTGATGGGTTAGTTCATTGTCTAGTGCTGGGATTGGGGTTTAGGTGCTACACTCTAAGGCAGGTAGCATGTGTACAATATATGGGAGAAAAAGAGGCCTGCTGATTCGCATTTTGCTCTTGTTGGTTTTGCT